CAAAATAAACTACACAAATTGAGCTACGTCAGTCGTGTAGCTAATTTCGAACTAGCTTTTTTGAAATTGGGAGCATCTACACAGCACTTATTTCAAAATAGAGCACTCTTCCTTCAACTTCCCTTACTCTTCGTACAATGAGGGTTACAGAAGTCAGAGTAAGAAGACTTCCCGCTTGACAGTATTTCGACATTATTTCAAAATACGTGCCTGCTGTGTAGACACAGATGGTTATTTTGAAATAGCACTAGTTATTTCAAAATAATGTTGCTGTATAGACATGCCCTCAGGGACTTTGAAAAGAACTATCTCGAATAGCTGCTGTACATGAACAAAAGCAAGTGATAGTGAGCAAAGGGGGGGAGGAGGATATTTTGGTTTAAAATCTATTGAAGATTTCCTTTAAAATAAGATGCAAACAAACTGTTTTGTTTAGCAATGCTCTGCCTCAGATTCAAGTCCTTGTGTGAATCTGGAATATTTCTGTTTGGTAGTTTTCTGTTATTATTATGTGCAATGTAGTGATAGCCCAGTCATGGAGCAGGACCCCATTGTGCTAGGTGCTGTACTACCTAGAACAAAAAGATGGTCCCCGCCCCAAAGAGCTTACAAACGAAGGCAAGAAACAACAGTCGGATGCAGACAGACAAGGAAGGCAAGAAACAACAGTCGGATGCAGACAGACATATGGAGCATTGCTCGCTATAGCAAAGCTTTTAAGCAAGTGTTTGTCTTTAAGCATGTGAATAATCCCATTGAAATCAATGGGCTGGAAGCCCAATCTGAAGTGGCCGGAGAGCATCAGATAAAACTTTCCCTTGTGTAGGCTGCACAAAGCTAACAGTGGATATGCCACCAGCTCCACTCCTCAGCATGACCACATGCTGTGCTGAAACTCAGCTGAACGGCATAGGGGGAGGCAAGTGGGAAGAAGGATGAAGAGGGTGAGGTGGTGCTTCAGGGAGAGAGATGGGAGAGGATTGGACATGACATAGTGAAGCTTTGCTCTGGCCAATTTGTTGCTGTCAAGTTCCTGCGGGACCTTGCCCAGGCAGCATAGTTTAAAGGTTCCCCATACAATTGTAACTTACACTGAGTGGCTAAGAATCAGGCCTGCATAGAGTACCCAGGTATCCCTGATTCTTCCTCCCCTACCACACACACACTGCCAATGCTCTAGACATGTGCAGTGGAGAATCAAGCTCACTCGGACTGCTCATGTGCTTGAAGTTAAGCAAGTATTTTAAGTGCTTTTCTTGATTTGAACCTCTGGGTCTTGTGTTTTCAGGTGCTTTATTTGGCTCCAATGGGAGGGGAGGTTCTTCAGTGCCTTCCAGGAGCAGACAGGTTATTTTGAATCTCTAGATTTAATGGTGAGTGGCAATTTAGGATGTTGATGGATATTACGCACCAAATGAGTGGGACCCATAAATAACAATGGCTGATGGTGTTTCTGTTTATCTAGACCTTTCTACTCTGTACTCAGCTTACTGACTTAAAATCTTGAGGGTTTCACAGGCAAAGAGAAAGATAAGCATGCTTCCCCAATGAAACAGCACTAATTTTACCAGTGGTAGCAGTGCTAGTTATATTGGTATGGAAACAATTCTAAACCTCAGTTCACTCCTCTAATGATTGCTGCAAAACGTGTTCAAAAATGATACCAATGGCAATCAATGGAACAAATAATGCATGTGCTTTCTCCAAAACATAGATTTTTCCTCACAAAAAGGCGAAATCCAGTGTGAATATGGAGCTACTGCAGCTACCTCCAGTATATGCTAGCAGTGCCTTAAATATAACATTTAGCTCTCTGCTTGTACTATTCATCTGCACTGAAGGTAGTATGCTTGCCTCTGTAATAAACAAGTTTAGTCTTTTCCACCATTGCTCTTTGAGTTTCATGGCTGTTCCTACCCCAGCCCACCACATTTGTCTCCTTGAAGTCGAGCACATTCAACACTTATCAGGGTCAGGCACTATGACATGAAAGATAATCTCATATCTATAAATATATTTGCTACATTATTGCTTAGTCAAAACCTCCACTGAATTCAGGAGAGTGAAAAAAATTGCAGAATTTGACTAAAAATGTTCTTGTTGGCAAATGTAATGTTTAATGAACGAGTCAGAATGTTTAACTTCTTCATGGGAATGGGGAATGCACGGATAACTAAAGTGATCCCCACCAGAACCTGTCCTCTTTCTACCTTCTTTCCATCTTTAAGAAACTTTAAAATAAAAGTTAATTTTAAAATGTTAAATTTCAGAGGATATGTCATTGCTGATTTGCTGATTTTATTTTGAAGAAGGGAACAGAATCTTCCAGCAGCTGTGCAGATTTTTGTATTAAAAGTGATTTATAAAAATTGTCCTGATTACCTGTACAGTCCTTGATATACTCAGCACATGGCTTATTACAGCTTTGATTAATTATCCAGAACTAGTAAAACCTTTAAAATTCTTTAACTACAAGAGCTAATTAAATGTACACAATTCCATTTGAGCCAGGTATACTTTGAGTGGTTCATTTTATGTTAAATGGTCCTCTTTTTGTAACACAATCAGCACATGTCCAGTAATGAATTAATTTTTAGCAGCTGCACTATATTTACTGTTTCTCACTTACTTTTGTCTGATCTGCTTGTATTTTCAGGTAGTGTAAAATACCCACATTACACCAAGCAAAACAAACTTGAAAGAAATCTTCCAAAACTACAGTGTGTGTTCTATATGAATCAGATTATTTAGGGTTTTAAAAACAGCCTTTAAAGATTCCATTTAAATCCCCAAATTGCAATCTGTAATTTAAACAAACCTTTCCCTGAGGTGAAGTAAACATGTGCTGGACAGCAGATATTTCTAAACATGCCAGCTTGCCCACTATATGGCCAAATTGTTTATTCAACTGAAGCTTGGACAAGAGCCACCACATCAGTGTCACAGTCTCTCAGCACATGTGAAGAAAATACACGCGATACATAGCAAATTAGGTGTCATGCTCTAGAAGGAGTGGTGATTTGCCACTTTTAGCAATGCTCTTTTACTGTCAGCAGTGGCTTTGAGAAAAGCATTAGAGATTCTTGTCACAGATGTTTCTTTCATAAACTGTTGTGGGAGAATGACATTCTGCAAAAATGGTTTACTACTCTGCTTTCTTCTCTTGGGAAAAACAATGTGCGCTACTCAGCCTAGCCAAATGGGCTTGAGGAACGTTCCTCATTTATACCACAATAGCATTAAGGATCATGACATTTACAGAGCTGATCTCAGAGACTCTGTTGGCAAATGTACAGTGCAGAGGTATTTATCCAAAGTGTGTGCCACTGATTTTTTTTTCTGTTGCATTAGTTAAGTGGGGTGAAACTGGCCAGTTGGGTGTTGAAAACTCAGACAATAAAAAAGGACTGAGCGTACACACCATGCATTAAGTGAATGGTTCACACTGGCTTTGAGTGATTAATCACCTTAAAAAAAACCTAACACACCACTACTACAGTATTTAAAGCTAAAAATCCCCTTTAATTTACTCCAAGTTACAACTTTGCAAACATGAAGCTAGATCATTCTGATATCAAAATAACTCTTTGATAGGAGAGTTATTTAAAGTTTGTTTATATCTAGACTGAGAAGGAGACAATGATCTATTTTTAAGTCAGAAACTTTACTTACAAACATCTCAGAATGAAAATTTTCCAAATTCAAGTTGAAAGCTGTAATTTGAATATGTGCTCTGATTTTTTAAAAATAGTTTTTATAGCAACAGCAATATCATATGGTGTTTTTCCATATTGTAATTTGTAAGTCAGACACAAGTTATTCACACCACACTAATTTTCATACTTTATATAATGTTAATTAAGCAAAAAATAAAACAATATCTTAATAATGTCATAAATTTTCCCATTTTGCACTGTTTATTTTAAAGTAAGCTTTTTCCTACCGAATCCCATATTCCTGCAGTAGAATAAGAGCAGGTAGGAGCAGAGAGAGGGACATAAAATGATGGGATAGGGAGTAGTGTGGAGGTTCAGGAAGTCCATGTGCATGCTCCAGCCGTGCATCCAAATGTTTTGGCATTGAAAAATGGTTTGCACATTGAAAGCAGGACACAATTACTGCTAAAGTAGTGTGCCCCAATTTACCAATGCATACCTTCTTCTCTGAATACAGCGAGAAGTCCTGTGGCACCTTAAAGACCAACACATTTATTTGGGCATAAGCTTTCGTGGGTAAAAATCATTCTGCATCTGATGAAGTAGATTTTACCCACTAAAGCTTATGCCCAAATTCATCTGTTAGTCTTTAAGGTGTCACAGAACTCTTCATTGTTTTTGCAGATACATGCCTGCACTTCTGAGACTTGTCTGATGAGAATGCCGTAGAATGAAAGAAATAATTTCCCGCACAATTTTTCCTGCTCTATGGGCTTTTCTGTGGGATCACTGATATACAGCATTGTATTTTTATTTATTTGTTTGTTAGTTAATTGTATTTAATATGCTGAATTTAATACTAATAGGAAATAATTGCATGCAAATGGTGCCACAGCCTTCTCCACAGCAATGTACCTCAGGCTTGATTTAAAACAAACAAACCAACCCTACCGAAACAAAGCACTATGCTGGACATACAATTCTCTCCCTGGAGAAAGGATGGGGGAGAGAATGAACTACCCTGACAGCTGTTGTTCATGAGGCAAGGCATGTGAGGTAATATTTTTTTACTGGACCAAGTTCCGTTGGTCATACAGACAAGCTTTCAAGCTTGCATGCGTTCATGTCACCGGATGCACTATTGGAAAGGGCTTAGGGTCACTGTAGTGATGAGCAAGGTAAATTCATTGGGGCAGGAACTGTGTTTGGTCTGTGGTTGTTCAACACTTACCATAATTGGGCCTTAGTCCATGACTAGGGGTCCAAGGTTTTACTGCATTATCAACTTCTCTCTCTCTCTCTCTCTCTCTCTCTCTCTCTCTCTCTCTCTCTCTGTCTCTCTAGATTTGCATCTCTCTTGATATTCTGTACCTTGGACTCATGCCAAATTGTGTGGTGGTCCTGTTATTTACACAAATGTTTTCTAGAAGACGAGCATTCCTCACCACAAAGGTCAGATTTTACTTTACACTACTGTTAGAATAATGCCTCTATAATGACAACAAAGTTACTTAAGATGAAGGTTTAGATGTTGGAACCCTTATTCACACTGATGTGCATGAGAAAATGCACATTAGCATGAGAAAAGTTTGCACAATTTAGTCCTGGATACTCTGTTGTAACTAATAGCAAAATTTGGTCCAAGATCTCCAAAAGGAAAGGGCTAGTGTAAATAATTATTTAAAGCACCTTTTTCTTCCCTTGATTAAGTGTTAATTTAGAAGGGTTTCACTATATTTCAGCATACATAACCCTGCAGTTCTGTATGATTAGGTTCATGAAACTGGTATGTGCTCTTTTTTACAGGTTGTTTATGTACACACATATACGCACACGCACACACACAAGTTTAAAAATCTTCTATTTGAATAATAGAAAGACTCATTTAATTTGCAGCTTTGACTGTATTCAGTCTTTATATACACAGTTAGACTGAAAAATCTATGTCTTAGTTTCTAAGTTGGCATGATTCCCAGATTGCAATGTGGTAAAACTTTCGGCATATTAAACAAATGACAAGAATTTCATGCAAGAGCAGCTTCTATAGAGTATCCATGTACTCTATATCTTTCTTTTCTTCACCATTCATGTATTCAGATTTTGGTTTATTTTGCCATGTAAATGTCAACAAGTTTGATTAAGTGTAAACAAGGATTTAGAATTTATCTTTCAGAGGCATCTCACAGCAGAAGGGACATTCAATAAAAAAGAAGGCGCTGCAGTATTAAACAGATTTTTTCCTCGAAAGCAGAATTTCTAGAATTCTGTGGCATTTTGAGACCAACTATCTGAGCAGGGAATGATAATTCTATGGCTGTATCCTACAAAATATAACCTTGTCTGCAGGATTCTAGTTTCACAGCTATGAAACCATTCTACAACCTTGGATTCATGAAATAGTAAATCTTGCCATTGCTTATGAAGAAGAATGGCAAAAATGGACTAACTCAAGCTGTATCTAAATTTGTATATAATGTATAAAGTAAATGTACATTACTCAAGTGAAGCATGCAAGCATGAAATGCGTTGGTAAGTTTGGAATTCTGGACATAAAGTGCTCACACATCTATGCACGGGTATCTACGTAGGTTGAAAGAATCATAGACACCAAGTGAGCCATCTATGCACGGGTATCTATGTAGGTTGAAAGAATCATAGACACCAAGACGTCCGGTCAGAATACAAACACATACAAAATGAAAGCAATAGCAGAAGGTAAAATGCGACAGAAGCTGAGGTCAGGAGCAACACACAGCACATTGGACTGGCCCTGCATGACATTCTGCCCTGTTATGGCAGACTACACAACATAATATCTATTGAACTATGTGCACCTGGTGTTGCATGTGGGAACACACTATTGTTTTCTGTACTGCGCTTGCCTTTGTCCATATACTTGGGATTTATTTAGCCCATTACATTAGTATGCATAAAAAATGTTGCATAAAGGTTTGACTAAAGTGCTGAAATGATTAAAAAAGGTTCTATACAAAAGAGATCTGGCACGTTATAACTAAACAGGGCTGTTTAGCAACCTGGGAGCTGTTAAGCTGGATTCCTCCATGAACATCAGGAGTGACATCAGGCACTAACTGATGCAAAACAAACAAACAAAAAAGCTGACATACTGCTATTGGCAAACCAGGGAAAGTCTCTTTTTAAACAACCACATTTAATGACCTTTTGTATCCACTGCTGTTTCCTCTGGCAACTCTGTTTTTTAAAACATGTTAGAAATGTTTGTTATATTTTTAACATTTAAAAAAGGGTCTCACAATAGAGTGGTTCTCCTTGTGTTTCTGCTAAAGTGCCATGAAGACTATTTTTGACAGGTGACTAAGAAGAAACAAAAATTGATTAATAAATGGCTTTCAAATGATATTATTAAAAATACAGCAGCAGCAGCTAAAATATTTCCAATAATATTCTCCTTTGGCCTGGTTCCCATTGTATTTGCTGCTGTTTATTGCACATCACTGTGATTTAGCAGAACATGATGCTGACATAAAATATTGATCTGCAAGTTCAGAAGAGGGGGAATGTTTTTAAACAAAGCTGAATGAATTCTACAAGAACAACTGGACCAGATCCTCGGATGGTGGAAATTGTCTTCAGTGAAGCAAAGCCAATTTATACCAACTAGCATTCATAAACTTTAATTCAAATTCTAAATGCTGTGGAGTTTGACTGTGTTCTTGCCTTTTTTGATTTACGTGTGAACAATCCCCTTGGGGCTTTTGCCTACATGTATATTTGGGGAACTAATATGTTTCAGGTAAATGCCCAAATTCACATAAGACCAAGGTATTTTTGCCTAAACATTGTTGAAAAATTGGCCACTCACTATTTGCCATTCATTATTCATTTAAAACATTTCATTCATCTAATCTGGTAGTAGAAACAATACCGTGACTTTAAATGTAATAATACATGGTGAACCAGCCAAGTGAAAAGTTTGTGTTTGTGAATAGTCCCATTGCTTGAAATGTAAAAGCTGGTGAGTGAATTCTATAAACTGCTCATTGAATACAGTATAGAAAAGGTTAGTAAAAATCTTTGTGTCTGTAAATGTTTTGAAAATCAGAAGGAAGGGTTACATTCAGCTGATGAATTGTTTACAATAAATCATGTAACCAGATCTAGTCTAGGAGTACTATCTTCATTTTGAATGAACCCAGAGCAGGTTGATTATGTGTGTTTGCCCATCTTCTGCTGTCCTCTAAGGATTCTGTGGTTAGCTAGCCTTTTGTTGGTTGCAGAACTAACAAACCCATAACTGATCTATGTGGTAATGAAAAGGTCCAACCAATTTATGAGTGGGCACAATGCCATCCAAACAGATGGGTGTGAGTGCCAGCAGCCAAAATACCATGTAAGATTGTCAAATGCAGATATTGAGGCTGGGCATATTTCACAGCCAGGAGCATTGAATGTTGAGCCTGTGTAATTAACAGAATGTGACATCATTAAACCAGCTCTGGGCTGGATTGATTTTGAAAAATAAAATAAATACTTTGTTATGGAAGGGAGAACCTAAAAAGGTATTAACTTTCAATAGTCAGGATAAGGCAGATGGAAGCCAAAGATTCCAAATCAGAGACCACAGGTTTACTTTTCACGAAGTTCATGGCCCTATGCCAGATTTAGGTATTCCAGGACCTGTGTATAATGAATAGCATTCTAAAGGGAGTGAAAGATGAGGTGTCAACTCATCTGAATTCACCATACTCTGCTTTTGCCTTTCCAGTAGACATTAGAGCTGTATATCTTTCTTCCTTAACCAAAATTTGCCAGAGTAAGAGTAAATAGGATATTCTCAGAACAAAGCTTTTGTTGATTAAACAACAGTCATTTGATCCTAAAACCCCCCCAATATATTTTCATATTATATTTAAATTCTATGAATTTTACAACAGCAATTATGAATTACAATCATCCACCAATACAAAAATCCATTATTTGCTCAGGTCTACTGCCACCTTCCCCTGAAGATTTGCCATGAGTGAATAGGTTTAAACATTGCTTATGTTTAAGAGGAAGCTGCATGAAGTATGTATTGAGTTAGATGTCCCCTTGTTGTATTGTCCAGGCTCCTCACTGGCCTGAGGAACTTCCTGTGATGGACAGGGAGCTGCTTAGCAATAATTAATGAATATTGCATGTTGACTGGTTTATTGGAATGTTTACTGTACTAATTTATTGGTTTAGTTTAAAAGAGGTCTGTTAGGACAAAAAGTAGTAAGGAAAAAATGGCTCTAGATAAACAGCCTCCTGGCAAACACTTGAGAAGAGCCATTGACTCTGAGGATTTTGGTTTGATGTCCTGCCGTCCCCTGCATTGGGCCACAAGGGCCAAAGCCCAGGAACTGAGAAGAACAGGGACTCTAGTTCTGTTAAAAACTCCCTTTCCAGAGAGAAGGCATTTGTTGTGCAGGAAAAGTGAGTGAGACAGGAATCCAATGAGGTGTGTGAAGAAGTTAAGCCTGTACAGGTCACCATGGTAAGGCTTTAGATGAGGTAGACAAGCATTACCTGAAGTCTACCCATCTTAGGAGGCTTCTCTACCCCATTGCATTTGGAATGGTGGGGTGCAGAGTTCCCTCTAAACTGGGCAGCAGATCAGCTTCACAGGCGATTAATCAGCCCCACCTAGTCAGAGGCTCAGAGCTCTGAGCAGTGAGCTGACTGACTGGGGGGGGAGGAGGGGAAAGGGAGGGGGCTGATTAATCACCTGTGAAGCTGTGCTGTGGAGAGGAAACACTGGTGGGAAGTGTTTAAATTGAGTGCCACAGGCTGTGACTAAGAGTGCTGCACACCATCACCACCTATTGGCCACTAAAGCAGAATGCAGCCAACCCAGCTTCTGTCCCAGCCAGCTCCAGTGCTCATGCTGCTGATGGTCTGCCTATTCTACTCTTCATTTCTGCACTTCCAGTACAGATCACCAAGTGGGTGTGGCCCTTAGGCTAAACATGGAGGCTGTATTTACCCTTTGTGCTAATTATTGTGCATTCCTCAGGATCACCAGCCCAAACATTGTGATTCAGGTCCAGACCCCACCAAAGCATGAAATTGGCTAAAAAAGATAATGAGATTAAAACAAAAATAATGAACTTGAGTTGGTTGGTTGGTTGGTTATTTTTAGCCTTTGGAGTTCTGAGCCTTTAAGTTTCACGTTTTCAAGACTTTTTCAAAACCATACAGGCTTAGAAACTTAATTAAAAAAAGCAAGCAAGCAAGCAACCTAAGATTCCTAATATAATCACTTGTCTCCATGAGCTGGGGCTCCAAGGAAAAATATGAACTTGTGATACTCACAATGAAATCACAAGAGCTTGCAAAAGTGGTTCTTTAGTCTTGTGCTAGGGAGCCAGGGATGTATGTGTGTGTCCAGCTTCCTATGTAAAGAAAACTATTTGTGTTCACTGTATTGAATAGACACTACAAAAACCAACAAGAAAGCCCATCCCACCAGCCTGGGATAAGTTGCTGAAGAATGCTGGGTAAAGGTAGTAAGTCAACTTGGGATCTATGTTGACCATTTAAAAAACAAAACATAGTATTCAACTGATTGTTAAAACGTTTCTTTTTATAAATATGGCATCTTTTAATAACATTTAACACTACTGGATGAAAGCATAACAACATACCCATAGCCTGTATTAATAAACTGCAAATAATGACAATAAGGATTTGTTGCCTAAAACTAATCCAATGAATATTTAGTATTATCATATATTATTAGTTATAACCACACAGGGCCCTGTTCCTCCCACATTAGTTTATTTTTAATGGAGGTTGGGGGGGAATATGAAAGTTAATCAAAACTATTTAAAAAAAAAACAGTAAAGATGATTTTACACTTTACAATATCGTCACTCCCCACAACAGCTAAAGACACTGCCTTTGGCATTTTAATTCACAACCCTCTCTGTAAGGGCTAATATTTTGATAATATCACTTTACCCAGGTATATTTTGATACTTTATCTATAAGGCCTGCCGATCCTGCCACTGTTTCTCATCCTGTTTATTACCTTATTTCTGGAATAGTCTAATTGTTTTCAGCAGACCTTAAACACATGTATGTGTAATGGATATATTCATATTTGTTTGCTAGGATGTCTAGTATTTTAAGTAGAGAGTGTGGATAATGCCAGTTTTTCTGGATAATCTTCAGGCAATATCAAAACCACTGCAAACAATTTGTTTCAATAGTGTGAGTTTACTAACACTCAGACCAAATTAATTTCTGTTATGTAACTGCTTTCCCACAGAAATCAGTGTTTGGGGGCTGGGTGGGGAGGGCCTCCGTATAACTGGCCATGCTGTTTAATACACGACTTGTATTTGTTTCTTGAAATGTTTAAAAACTAGATTAAAGCATTGTATGTTAAAGTAGTATTCGTGTTGTTTATCTCTGTGGATTTCAGTTAATTATCCGGTCATGCACAGTTATGCATCGGATGATAGTCAGAGTATGGCATTTTTGAGGCCAATTGCCTCACCATTGAACTTGTCTTTTTATGGCCCACCTGTCTTGATGTAATTTATACTTTTTCATGATGAAGCTTTTTCGTAGTAACTTCTCCAACAGAAAGATTGTCTTTTGTAAATATTTAGCCATAAGCGTGTAACTGCTCTGGAGCAATGATCTTTAACACACAAAGTGCTTGGCTTTTATTAATAGTCCTATAACAAACATGAAACATCGTCAAAACAGAGAATCAGTTTTCTATGTCTCCTTGTTATTATTTCATTTGAGCTAAATAAGAATAGGGCTAGCAGATGAGTTATTCATGTGAAGGTTGGAAGAAATATCACTGTAGGTTCCAGAACCCCTGCAGGGTTCCACAGATTTTACCAAAATATTTTTGTAGATTCCTATTGTTTTTTTTTTTACTTAAAAATATGGCTGAACTGAATGAAATGAATAGGCCTCTTTCAAGAGTAAAAAAAAAATTCAATTTCATTGCCCAGCATGTAACATTTTTCTGTGTGTTTCAAATATGCTGTAAAACTAGATCTCCATGTCTTTTTAATAGAGAAACTTAGCACTTTGAAAAATCAGACAAATACAAGAAGACTGAAGATGATTCAGCTGTCTATGTTATGATGCTATTATTTTTGCACTCTGTTCACACTGTTTTGTTTTTAGTAAACCTTGCTTTAATAGTGAAGAAAATGTAAGCTTTTATAATTAACTTCTAACTTACATCACAAATGGAATAAAATCCATAACGTACTAAATATGTGGGTACATCTGAAAAACAAATAAGTCCTTTTGAACTGATGTGGCTCAGTGCATGTGGTCAGTTAGATTTTATACTTCCTGTAAAGCTCTAAAGGTTATCTCCTAACAGAAACCAACAACAAACGGAGGAAAAACTAAGGCAATGTCTACACTGCAGGCTTTTGCCGGCAGAGAGAATGCTAATGAAGCGCTCATTAGCATTTGTCGTGCTCTCATTTGCATATTCTCTGCTGATGCTTTTTGCACAAAAGGTTTTTGCACGGGTCCATTTTGCGCAACCCTCCCCCCTTTTGTGCAAGGTCCTTATACCTCCTTTTTTGAGGCATAAGGATCTTGCGCAAAAGGAATTTTTTGCGCAAAACTGACCTGCCTACACTGCTTGTTTCTGCACAAAAACTTCTTGCACAAAAAGCATCGCCAGAGAATATGGAAATGACAGCGTGACAAATGCTAATGAGCACTTCATTAGCATAATCTCTGCCGGCAAAAGCCTGCAGTGTAGACATAGTCTTAGAAGAGGATACTCCCATAAGTACACATTGGTAACAATTCTGTCTACCTAAGTCTGTTGATAGGACTAAATATCAATGCTATACCTAATACAAATTATTTGTAGACTAAGTCAACTTGTTACAGGCTTTCAGTGTTCTAAAGCACATTTCATACATTATTTTAGAGTCTGGGAAAAATGTAGTGTTCATATTTGTAAAGTAGCAGCTAAGTAAAAATGTACCTAGAATTAATAATATCTACCTACCGATAAACCTATGGGTAATAAAACTTTTTACAAATTTAAATTGTCTAAAAAGTTAAACAAATTTCAGTAAAACAAAACTTTCACAGCTATGATTAAAATGGCCGTCCTCAAAGGGCTGCTTTTGTTGTGAGAGGGAGAACACAAGAACATAGGAACACTTCTACTTTTTGTTCTGAACCTTTAGGGCTTCTCTGCATTTATCAAGAGATTGATGACACAGAGATATAGTAAGGACCCACTAAATCAACTGCTGATCACACCCCTGTTGACTTCAGTACTCCACCAGGTGGTGAGGAATAAGGGAGAGTTTCTCCCATTGACCTCCTGCAGTGGGGACACTGTGGAAATTCAAACTAATGTATATCAACTTCAGCTATGCTATTCACATAGCTGGAGGTGCGTATCTTAGGTCGACTTTTTCCCCTAGTGTAGACCTGGCCTAAGTGTTAGCACTGAAACTGAACATCAAACATCTTAGATCATATTTTGCATGGAGTTTCTTTGAACTCCAACTGTGTGCACAAGCGAAAAAGGTACCACTCCTAACTTTTTGCATGTGAGACCAAGGGAATTCACTTCAAAACTTATTTTCTCCTTTATAGTTAAACCTACCTGGTTTGAAAGAAATTTTATGGATGTAATGCTTATGAAAAGGGCTACATCAGTGGGCTGGGGTGCTGAAGTCTTCTTTTTACCTACATAAGAGATACTTCCCTACCTGGTTTTACCAATAAGACTCTCAATCCTCACATAAAAAAGTAACTACTGAAAAATAAATTCAAGTTTCATGCCTTTTCAATCTTTGGCCTGTCTAGCTGAGGCAGCCATCAAGAATAGCAGTCTCTGCCAGTTGCCATGGGAATGGTTGGAGGATTAGTAATTTATTTTCCTTAGGCCTGTCCCATCCTATGTGAATATGCTAAGCCAGAGTTCCTTTGCCTTTTTGACGGTGAAGGCCACAGGAATTAAAAGCCAAAGATGATGGCTTATTAGTGAGATGGATGGTTTTTGAGATGAGTGGTGTGGTTGTGTTTTAGTGCAGTTTTGTTTTACCTGGATAGCTGATATTTAACTTTCTTGCTGTTTTTTAAGGTGACTTACTGACTGGTATTTTAGCCAGATTTTTGTTCATTTGTTTCACTGGGTGTCAAGTTCTGGAATGTCTGGAGTGACTATTTCAGGGTTGGCTGGTTGGCTGTGTTGGATGGTTGGCTCAGGGTTGATTGGACTTAGGCTGCACAGACCTGCCATCTGTATCATAGTCAGCTTATTTATTTACCTTGCCAACCATCCTGATTTTATTGCTGATAACTCCCTTTCCTCGGTTTATTTGTTTCATGCTTCTTCACAGAAAGTGGCATGAAGTACCTCCACTTCTTTGCTAAACATTACCTTATAGTAGACTGGAAAATGAAGAGAAATCATGTATTGCTTTCTTTGAAGGCATTCTATATAGGAAAGTGTGGATGAGAAGATGAACAGAACTTGAATCTAGCTGCCCTAAAGAATTCATGCAAATTTTGGAACCAAGCTTTTTAGGCTGCTCTACAATGAAAAAGTTCTAATTTTATGGATCTAACAAAGCATAATATGGCTCCAAAATAGGACCAGAAAAAACTGAAATACAAACTTGAATGGACATTTTGAGACTTCGTCCATGACCTTGAAAGAGTGAAGTTTTGGCATTCAGTAGTTCTAAAATGATAACAGTTATGGATCAAGTATATATACAACAGAATTCAGCACTACTGCCATAGAGTGAGGAATAGAAGCAACACAAAAACAACACGTGATCTAATTTTTAGGGGATTAAAAATTTGGTTAACTTTATTGACGTAATAGACTTTGACTTGCATAAAACATTTCAGTTAACACATGATGTTCTGATTAAAAAACCCAAACACTTTATAAAACCAGTGAAGCCTAAATTAAATGGATTAAAAGCTATTCTAACTTACAGATCTCAGAAAGTATTTGTAAATGGGAAATTGTCACCCAATAGACGTGTGTCTAGAGAAAATTCTCAAGGATACATACTTGAGCCAATCTGATTTAACATTTTTATCTTTATTATTGGTGGAATGGTAAATAAAGTTATGAAAACATCATTTCTACAGAGTGTTCTGGATGAGGTAATATACTGGTCTAATTTAAATAACAATAATTTCATTATAGGTAGGTACAAAGTCATATATCTAGGACAAAAAATGTCAGTCACACTTATTGTCTGTATTTCAGATAGCAGTGACACTGAAAGGGACCTAAAGCTCATGGTAGATAGCCAACAGAACTTGAGCTCCTAATGCCGATTGGTGGTAATTAAGTGGAATAATTTTCTTAAGGATGTGGTGGATTCTTTGCCACTTGAACTCTTTCAAGGTTAGATGTCTTTCTAAAACTGGATCACTCATCGGGCAGACCATGAGCTAAATGTAGACTGCCAGACATTTTTGCTTAACTAGAAGTTATGGGCTTAATTCTGGAACTGGTGAAATTGTATGGTTTTGTTGTACAGGAGATTGGATTAAATTATTACCATAGTCCCCCTCTGATTTAAAATCTATGTATCTATCAGAAGCAGATGAGATAAAATACAGCTGCATAATTCACATACAAATTCTAACCTAAATTTCCCCAAAGTTTGGGAGTTTTCAGATCTTGCATTTTGGCTGAAAGATATGTATAAAGAAGGGTCAAATGTCTCGAAAGTACAATTGATCTTTTTTCTTTTATTTTTTCCCCAGTAAGTTCTCTTCCAACCCATCATGTAACATCACAATGAATTACACAGCTGGCACATTTAGCAGAATATTTAAGTGGTAATCATACTACATACCTATAATCATTTGCTTCTCAGGTGTAGCAGATTCCATTTCTTCTCCATTGCTCTAAAATGGCATGGAGAAAGAATAAAAGCAAGAATGATGGACAGACTGACCACGGGCTCTGTTTTGCTCTACTTTACACAGGTGCAGTTCTATTAAATTAACAAGATTGCATACATGTGTTTGAGAATAGAATTGTGGCTTGATTTTCTTTGTCTTTGTTATTTAGTTAAAAGCAAAGACCGAGACTTTCAGTACAGTATAGTGTTCTCAATGAGCTGCAGTATTTGGAACTGAAAATGTAACTGAGTTGCTGGATCCTGAGACAAAAAGAAGCCTAGAATATGGGTTTTCAATTTTTAGAGTTTGGAGTTCCTCCTTTCACCTTCATGACCGGGCACATCTCATTTCTTCTTATTTGCAATCCTGTAACATTCCTATGACATACACAACATTTGCTTCCATTACACTGACAAGTA